TGGTAGTGGGTCAAGGAGGTTGCTGTCAGTCAGGTGTGGGCGCTTAGGCGATCGAAGACCAAGCGCTCAAGGAGCTTGGAAGTGAGTGGCAGCAGGGAAATTTGGTCTGAGGTTGTTGAGGTCAGTGGGGTCCAGGGAGGGCTTTTTGAGTATGGGGGTGATGTGCGCATGTTTTAAGGGGGAGAGGGGAAGACGCCAGTAGAGAGGGAGAGATTTAAAGAAGTGGGTAAGGGAGCGGATGAGGGAAGAGGGGGTGACCGGCAGGAGTTGGGGGGGATAGGGTCCAGGGGGCAGGTAGTGAGGGCGGGCTTCTGAGAAGACTCTGCTGACTTCCTCAGTGGTAGTAGGGCTTCGAAGGATGCAGTGATGGGGGGTTACGGTAGGCAGGCCTTGGGTGTGGTGGGGGCAGTGCCGTTGCGAGGTCAGAGGAGGGGAGAGATGAGGGGGTGATGGAAGGGGGGGAGGCTAGATGGGGAGGTAGATTGCAAGTTGACTATGTCCTTGCGGATTTGCGTCAATCTTGTTGTGGAGATGAGTGGCAATTTCGTGGGCGTGAGTGAGGTACTAACTGGAGGAGGGGGGGGAGAGAGCAGGGAGTTGAAGGTGAGAAGAAGAGTCGGCGAGGGCAGGTGGATAGGGTGTTAATCAGGTTAACAAAGTAGGCCTGCTTGGCGGCGTGGAGGAAGGAGGTGTAGGTGAGGAAGGCAGATTTGTAGAGGGAGAATGCATAGGGGACCTGGTTTTGCGCCATAGTCTCTCCAGCGCACGGCTGCTGCGACGTTTTTGAGGCATTTAGTGTGGTCGTTCTGCCATGGTTGGAGCGGTCTGGGTTTGATGTTGCGTGTGGTTAGGGGTGCCAGAGAGTCTAGGGTAGCTGATAGTGAGTCGTTGTACGTGTTAGTGGCTAGGTCAGGACATGACAGTGGAAAGGATGCTGTCTGTAAGCGGTCGGCACAGCGAGTGGAGGGGGGCTGGGTGCAGGTTGCGGAGGTTGCGGCTGGTGATGGTTTGGCGCACTGGGAGGGGGGGGGAGTTAGGGGAAGGGGAGGTGGAGAACGGTGAGGAGGTGGGGTGTGGAGAGAGGGAAGGGGGTGTTTAGTTGAAAGTCGGTTAAGGGTACCAGAGGTGGGAGAAGACGAGGTCCAGGGGGTTCACATTGATGTGGGTGGGGATTGACGTGTATTGTGTGCGTGGTGAAGGAGGGGAGGTTAGGTGTAGGAGTTGGGAGTGTTGCTGGGGTGTTGTCATTGATGGGGATGTTGAAGTCCCCGAGGATGATGGTCGGTAGCTCCAGATGGAGAGGAAGAAGGGGAAGCCAAGGCGGCGAAGTCATCCAGGGGGATGCGGGCTATGGATGCGGGGGGGCCTGTAGATCACTGCGATCCTTAGGGTGGTGGGGTGAGAAGAAGACCGGATGCACTGTGAGCCTCGAAGGAGAGAGAAGGTTAGGCGAGGGGAGGTTTAGGGAGTACCTGGAAATGTGCTCAGCGGTGATCGGACAGCAGGCCGACACCACCACCTCTTTGTGACCGCCCAATCTAGGTGAATGGGAACCAGATGAGACCTCCATGGGAGAGTGCCGCAGGGGGAGTAAGTGTCAGTGGCCTGTACGCCAAGATTCGGTGGATGGCTAGGAGGATGAGGGAGCGGGAGATAAAGAGGGTCATGATGGCAGTTAGTTTGTTGCAAACCGAACGGCGCGTTCAGAAGTGCAACCGAGAGAGCGGTGGATGGATGCGGGGAGGAGGTGCACAGGTATGAGGTTGGGGGGGGGGGGGGGGGGGGGGGGGGAGGAGGGTTGCGGGCGGCTGGCGGGGGTCAAGTGGGGTCCCTGGAGGGGGGGAGAGGTGGTTGAGGGGCCAGGGTTCGGGTATATGTGAATTTACACTTCCTAAATACCATTCTGCTAACTTCTACTTGAAGTATGGGAATACCACAATTTGAAGGAATTTTTGGACCTAGCCACAAATAGGAGCCTGAAATCCAATGACCACTTTAAAAAGCCTGAAAGTGCATAACTTCCTCATTTCACTTTCTCACTACCCTATTCACAGTATTGGAGGCCATGAAATTCCAGATAGCACCCACCCCAATCACAGGTCTGAATAGACAGGTCTGACCCCATATCTGGCAGCTTGCTAGGGAGAAATTTGTTTGAATGCAAGGTGGCCAGAAAAATTAATGATGAGGACTCATACAACAGGCAGATTTTTTTTTTATACTGGGCAGTATAGTCATGCTGCATATTTTATTGGTTAAGGTGATTACGAGGGCACTTCCTGGAACTCCTCTTTCACTCTTCTGGATAGTGAGGGATCCAGCGATATAAAATTGGGCAAGGTTGGCACAAAACTCGTTTTAGGGTTATTCCGTTCTCATTACCAGAATTCCCCATCTCCTACTATACTTTTTTTTTTTAAATCAAGGTCTTGTGTATTCAACTGAGGCATAAAAGGGCCACGCATTCTCAAGACATACTCAATATTTTATAGCATAAAGGTAACAAGGAGGTTTGGTGTTGTTCCCAAATTTTTACTAAATATGTCTTGGTGCCCAGATTACCCCTCTAAAACAACCTCCCTTTTACACCACAAAACATTCCCCTTATGGGCTGACTTAGAAGCATTTGCTCTGTTCCTCAAAAGTCTTGTCGTTACACTCCCATGGCGCGTCCTCCAAAAATCCAGATCTACATCGATCAGCCTCTTGGATGGGTCCACACACTCTGCGCTGAGAACTCTGATAAATTATTCCAGCAACTTTATTGCAACCTCCATTGACGCTCGGTCCTCTTTTGTGGCGAATCCTAAAATGGTTACAAACATTACTAAACTCGCCACCTTCCCAGGAACCCTTGGGTACGATGGCAATTTGAATCCACCCCAGGCCTCACGAGTTCCCCAATTTAAAATTAAGCTATAAATGTTTACTAGCAGCAAAACAATACATGAAAACAAGAGCTTGGCCCCCCTCGTGGAAGTCCATCTTAGCAAAGGATTGTCCCATCTAAGAAGATGTCTTAATAAGAAATTCTTTAGAAAATTAGGGCGGGTGGATACATTACACTCACCCACCCATGTCCCCTGACACACCTACACACTGCTATACAGCATTCAGAGCCCCAGGTTTTCAGGTAAGGGGGTCCCCGATGTTCCTCCATCTGTTCTCATCTTACCCCCCGCACCGCACCCCAATCACTTACCCATCGCCCCCCCCCCATCCCCCCTTGTTCTAATTTCCTTCCCTCGTTCTTTTCTCTCACCTTTAGCCCTGACCAGGGAGGCCTTGGTTACCTGGGTTATCTTGCCTATCCGCTTGTGCAGGGACCCGACTCTCACACCCAGTCAAGAGTGTCTCCAAAAGTATGGGCTAACTCAAGATTTACCTCTCCCTCAGTTTATTTCTCTTCCTCCTTCCCTAAGTTATTCCTCCTTGTTGCCCATTCTTACAATGTGTATGGTTACTGTCAAACCCGATCTAGTAACACGCTGCGCTCATTGATCTGTATATCCATCACTTGTAATTCCTCTTGTATGATTTAACGGATGCACGCTGGAAGTGGATTTTCATGGGTTTGGTTACTTCATGAACATTTGTTAAGTACGAGTTTCCACAATGTAATCTACACAACTTTAATAATAAAAACTTACTGCAAGTGAACGTTAGTTGGACAAATGTGAGGAGCATTTGCCCCGCCGGAGAATACATTCTTGGCCATCATTTATTTTTACCACAATGATTTTCCTATGTTGGTCAGCTCCATCGAGAGTGGCCTCAATGCAGTATTTTACCTGAAAAATCCATCTGTGATATGGGGGTTTGTTAGCATTCCTGTGGTAGATAGTTGTAAGTTGAGTGTCCACGTCAGTCAAGGACCTTGTCGGTTTATCGGCACGGCAGCCCATCTTGTATTAAGAAAGAAAATAAAAGTTCGTTAACACCCATAAGGGTTTTCCCACGCAGGGGGATTGTCCAGCTTTGTCAATACAGCTGATAACTGAAAATGCTTAGCTCACCAACACCTGGCTACACTTCAGAGCTGCACCACCTGATCTTTACAACTGGTTCCCCAGAAACTTAGGACTTCTTCAGGATTACTCAGCCTTGGTGTTACCAGCACCTCACTACACTGGTCCACTCCTGGCCTCTACATAGGGTTCCCCACCCCCCTCCAAGCTTGATCAAACTCCTCATTGACTTCTTGGACTCCCTTCCGAAGCCCCCCCTGGACTCACAAAGCCACTTCAGGTCCCCCAGACTCTTTGGAGCTTGTCCCTGACTTTCCCTAGCTCCTTGGGCCAAGGAATCCCACCATCACAAGGGATGCAGTCTCCAGCAAGAACCCCCAGCTCTCCCTGACAGGGTCCTTGTCTCCCAAATGAAGAAGACCTGGCCTATACATGGATCTTGCCCACCTATGTAACTCACGGCAGCCTGCATGCATCTAGCAAAGCCTGGACATAGGACTGAAGGTCTTGTACCCACCAAGAATTCTCTGGAACCCTTCAAGGTCCAGGTCCCGACCCCCGGAACTACCAAAACCATTGAAAACCACTAGAACAACCAGTTTGTCTCTGCTCACAAAATACATGTTTGGAAGCTTCTCAAAACAGCAAGCCAGGAGGACCCTGGTGTCATTGTCACAGTTAGCTGTACGCTCACAACTTCCCACACCTCCATCAGGACCCTCCTATCAGGTGTGCTTCTTCCCCACATGAGAGCTTGGAATGCCCTAGCAACATTCATCCTAAGAAGACCATTTCCCACACTCAAGGCACTAATACATCTCCAGGGTTCTGTGGGAACCCCCTGATGTACATGGAACACAGGACTTCAGATGAGGAACATTTCCCTCACTCATGACTAGGAAATGTGGCTGCTCCCCATGTGAGATCTTCTGATTGTCTGGAAAGATAGCGACTTCCCGGTGAAAAACATTTCCCGCCACTCAGGACAGCAATACGGGCTTCTCTCCTTTTGTGAGAAATCTCTGATGTGTGTTATGATTTGGACTTATTTGAAAAAACATTTTTCCCACACGTCTGGACAGAATACTCATCTCTCCCTGTGTGAAACGTCTGATGTGAGCATAGATGGGCCTTCTGTGAAATAACAAATTTCCCGCACCCTGACTGGAAAAACGGCTTCTCCCCCGTGTGACATCTCTCGATGTTTGGGAAAGAATGGACTTTTGTGGAAAAAACATTTCCGCCACTCAGGACAAGAATACATCTTCTCCTCTGTGTGAGACTTATGATGTTTGTAATGATTTGATGGTCTGTGAAAAACATTTTTGCCGCACTCAAAACAAGAATAACGGCTTCTCCCCTGAGGTGAGATCTCCTGATGTGTGTAAACACTGGAACTTCTTTTCTCTGAAAAATTTTCCCAACACTCCAGGACAGGAAATACGGCTTCTCCCACCGTCGTGAGACCTTTTGATGTGTATGTAAAGAAGTTTGAGACTTTCAGTGCATAACGATTTCCCCGCACGCAGGACAAGGAATATGGCTTCTCCCCCTTGAGCAGTCCTCTTGATGTGTGTAAAGATTGGACTTGTCCTGAAAAAAACCATTTTCAGCATTCAGGGACAAGAAAACGTCTTCTCCTCCCTCCCCTGTGTGAGATCTCTGATTGGTGTAAAGATTAGGGACTTCTTGCAAAAACCCTTTCCGCACTCTGTACAGGAGAAGCTCTTCCCTGTTAGTAAGGCCGGCCCGGTCCCGCCACAGTCTGAGGTTCCTCACAGGATACGAGGAATTCCGGTGGTCCCATCTAGCACTGGGTGTGTGTCGGATGGACATTGGTGGGAGCCGGGTTTTCTCCTGGTACTGTACTGTGTGATGTCCTCAATCTATCTACTTTCCAGTTCTGAGAGACAAAGTGAGACACAATCCTCGGAGGTTTTTTCCTTAATCGATCCTGGCCCTGGGACTACAATACAAAGACAAGAGAGGATTACTAGACAGGAGCTGATTGGTTTTCCCAAACCAGGGACTCCCGCCCACATCAGGCAACTTGGTCTCTGAGGGGCTTAAAATTCCACCCTCAAGGGAACTAGGAAAATGGCTCCTCTGATCCTCCTACCAAGGTCAATTTCTTTTATTCATGGACCATTAGACAGAGAGTGAGGAAAACAACCAGAACTGTCCTTGTAAAGGGAGGGACAGTGATGAGGGGATTGTTAGGACTGAGGGTCCCACACCCCCATCTATCACTCATCGCCATCCCTTCCCAACACAAGAAGTACTGGCACTTTCCTTATTTAGTCCATGATTTAGGCTTTGGTTAACATCTGTGTGGGTGGTTCCACTCGTGGGACCTAGCAGAACAACAGAGCAAGTAACCCTTGAAGATAACTGTTGGAGAAAAAGTTATATGACTCATCACCCAGGTGACTAAGGTCTAGTAAAGTTATATGGTGAAAACTGAACATTTTGACTGGCCAGCTGAACCCCAGAACCTCCATAAATCCCAGTCTAGCAGATACATAAATTGTGGTCTGCTAGCACAGAGAAGGAAAGTTCTATCTGAGAGAAATCCAGAAATACAGGACGGGGAAACCACGCTCAGGAAATGTGACCAGGGGAGTTAACAGGCTGATTATCACCCAGCTCCCCGCTCTTACTCTGGACCAATCAGTGATCAGTATGGTGGAGGAATGGAATTTAGTGTTCATGACCCACCTGTGGCTGATCTCTGTAGGAGTGTCCTCCTCTATTAAATGTCCCCGTATATTCCATTCCCCTCTCCATAGACGCGATCATCCCTCATCATTCCCTCACATACGCCTCTTCTTCTTTCTGCTTTCACCTCAACTTTTATAGCTATCAGATCTTCACCCTAAACCCACAAAAAATCATCTGTAAAATATAAAGTCACATGGAAAATGCACGAATTGTCTCCATGAGACCAGGCTCTAGATGCTCCATCGTACCAACCTTGTAATGGTGATCTTCCTGTGTGGAATCCTGGGAATACAGAGGATGGGGACATCTCTCTGGTGGGTTCCTGGTATTAGGTGGCTCCATCATATCCTTGTGTCCTTCTGAAAACTCCTCCATCACTCCATACTCCTCATCCTCCTCTTTAAATTCTTCCTTAACAACAATATTATCATCCCGAGGATTCCACTCTGAAAGATATATAAAACATTCATTGTAACAAACATGCTGTGTATAAATCACAACTACCAATAATTGTCATCATCTACCTGATGATGAGGATGGTGAGGGATGGTGTGACCTTCCTGTGTGGAATCCCGGGAATACAGAGGACGGGGGACATCTCTCTGGTGGGTTCCCATGACTGGATCCATCTGTAGGAAACACACACACTGACTGAATCCATTGTTTCTATGTGTTTATCAGATGATGGGGGATCTAGGTGGATCCTCCGTACTGCTCTCTCCCTTTACAATAAAGTCTCCTCTTACCCGGTGATTGTGAGGGGCGGCTGATTGTCCATCATGACGTCCTTGTAGAGATCCTTGTGTCCTTCTAAATACTCCCACTCCTCCATGGAGAAATAGACAGTGACACCCTGACACCTTATAGGAACCTGACACACACAATGATACAGTCACCATCCAGACACATCCCTTGTCTGTTACTGGAGAATGTCCCAGAATTCCCGGCACCGCTCACCTCTCCTGTCAGCAGCTCAGTGATCTCTCTGGTGACTTCTAGAATCTTCTTCTTCTTTCTCTCTTCTATCAGGGAGGGAGGTGGAGGCAATGTGATGTCATATGATCTCCAGACTTCACAGGAGGAAAACTCTACATCTGAACACAAATAGTCACATCAAATGATATTCCCAGAATCCTCCTCACCTCTCCATTCAGGTCTGCATTTTATTAAAGCCCCACTTCAGGCTGAGGTATAATTTTCCCCCCACAGGACCCCCACACTACGCAGGGTATAGGCTTGTTGCAGCATTCTGATGTCATTACATACAACGCAGGACCAACAGTCCCACTTTACATGTGAGGATACCAAGGGGCCCCACATCCTTAGAGGAACAAAAAAGTCAAATGGAGGGACATTGGGGGGAGGAGCTGTGAGGTCAGTGTGATGTCATAGGATTCTCTGACTCTGGATGGAGGGGCATTGGGAGGAGAAGCTATGAGGTCAGTGTGATGTCACAGGATTCTCTGACTCTGGATGGAGGGACATTGGGAGGAGGAAGCTGTGAGGTCAGTGTGATGTCATAGGATTCTCTGACTCTGGATGGAGGGGCATTGGGAGGAGGAGCTGTGAGGTCAGTGTGATGTCATAGGACATATAAGACTCTGGATGGAAGGACATTTGGATGGGGAGATTTGAGGGGTCCTCTATATGGGGCTCCTGTATAAACCAAATCCTTGTTCCTGGGTGCGTCCTACCTCTCCTAAACTGAAGAGTGAACTTTGACCTTTACCATCCAGAAATCTGTCCGGAATCTGTGGAAGTAAGCTGTCATGTGATCAGGTGACGTGCGGAGGAACGGAGTGTAAATAGCAGACAATTGTCTCCAGAGCCCCTAATGGTGGGGATGGATTTGGCGGCGTGCTGGTGCCAAGTTTCCTAACCCCAGGGTCACTGCAGGTGTGGAGAAAAGCTGTGTAAGAGGATGAGGAGGAGATCCAGGAATCAGGAGAAAGGTCAGGGCAAGCAACAGACGAGCGCATCTAAGAGACCAAGCCGGGGTCACTACACAGAAAATCAATCCAAGGAAACAACAGGCAGGACGAGGAATAGCAAGAAGGAGCTGAGAGACAAATGAGAATATTGCTCAGCCAATGGGAGATGATCTCAGCATGACTTCCATCATGAAGGAGATGAGGGGGAGGGGAGGAAGTCACTGAAGGTGACCATAGATCCATGGAAATTCAGCTGGTTCAGCAGGGATCGCTCACATTTCCATCCATGTGTGGCCACTGCCGGATAAAAGCCACTCCCCCAGCGGCTGCAGCCAATAGCTTCAGTGCTGATCCGTGTATTCTGAGAGTGGAGGAGTCCCTCCATTGTCAGAATACAAGAGTGCAGCGGGGAGGATTCCCCCCATCCACCTCCAATGTGTGGATGGGGGAATCGCTTCAGTTTATTTCTCATTATTATTATTATACAGTATTTATAAAGCGCCAATAGTTCGCTCAGCGCTGTACATTACAAAGGGGGACAGAACATGTGACAGAACAATACCAATACAATGCAAAACATGAGGGGATTGAGGGCCCTGCTCTTTCGAGCTTACAATCTAGGAGGGAGGGGATGGTGGCACAGGAGGAGAAAGCTGTGGGGGATGGGGTGGTAGGAAGAGTAGAGGAGGTCGGCAGGTTAGCAGGGGGTGGGGTAGGCTTCCCTGAAGAGATGGGTTTTCAGGGTGCGCCTAAAGGAGAGGAGAGTAGGTGATAATCTGATGGGTTGGGGCAGGGAGTTCCAGAGGATGGGTGACACCCTGGAGAAGTCCTGGAGGCGGGCATGGGAGGAGGAGGAGACCAGGGAACTAGAGAGAAGGAGGTCTTGTGAGGAGCGGAGTGTGCGTGTTGGGCGGTACTTGGATATTAGGTCAGTGATGTAGTTAGTTGGGGCAGTGTGGTGGACAGCTTTGTACGTCAGTGTTAGGATTTTGAATTGGATCCGTTGCGCAATCGGAAGCCAGTTGGAGTGGAGGGATTGGCAGAGGGGGGTGGAGGCCAGTGGAGGGATTGGCAGAGGGGGGGGTGGTGGAAACGGAGAGGTTGGAAAGGTGAATGAGTCTGGCAGCCCGTGTTCAGGATTGACTGAAGCGGGGATAGCCACCAGCGAGGCAGGCCAGTGAGTAGGGAGTTGCAGTAGTCGAGTCGTGATGTGATGAGGGAGTGGATGAGCTGTTTAGTGGTTTCTGGGGTTAGGAACGTGCGGATTTTGGTGATGTTGCGGAGGTGGAGTCTGCATGAGTTTGTTAAAGATTGGCCTTGGGGCTGGAAGGATAGGTTGGAGTCCAGAATGACACTAAGTACTCTGGCCTGTGGGGCGGGTTTGATGGTAGCGTTGTTGGATGTGATGGAGAAGTCAATGGGGGGTGGTGTCCGGGCTGGGGGGGAAGACAAGAAACTCGGTTTTGGAGAGGTTCAGTTTAAGGAAGTGGAGCGACATCCAGTCTGATATGTCGCTCAGTAGGTGTGTGATTCGGGCGGAGACCGACGTGGGGGGTTGAGAGATAGATTTGTGTGTCGTCGGCATAGAGGTGGTGGTAGTTGAAGCCGTGAGAGTGCATGAGTTGGCCAAGGAAGGAAGTGTAGATGGAGAAGAGAAGGGGCCAGAGGACGGAGCCTTGAGGGACCCCAACAGAGAGGGGGAGGTGGTGGCATTATAGGCAACGCTGAAAGAGCGTTGTGACAGGTAGGATGAGAGCCAGGAGAGAGCAGAATCTCTGAGGCCAAGGGAGTGTAGTTTTTTGAGGAGGAGGGGGTGGTCAACTATGTTGAAGGCCGCAGAGAGGTCAAGGAGTAGGAGCACTGAATAGTGGCCATTAGCTTGGGGGTTAGCAGGTCGTTGGAGAGTTTGAGTAAGGCAGTTTCGGTGGAGTGTAGGGGACGGAAACCGGACTGTAGGGGATCGAGGAGGTGGTTGTCATTGAGGTGAGAGCATAGGCGGGTGTAGACGAGGCGCTCGAGGAGTTTAGATGTAAATGGGAGCAGGGAGATGGGTCTGAAGTTGTTCGGATCATTGGGGTCCAGGGAGGGCTTTTTCAGTATGGGGGTGATGTGTGCATGTTTCAGAGGGGAGGGGAAAGTGCCGGAGGAGAGGGAGAGATTAAAGATGTGGGAGAGGGAGAGATTAAAGATGTGGGTGAGGGAGCGTGGGATGGAGGGGGAGGGAGGTTGTAGGAGTTGTGAGGGGATAGGGTCAAGGGGGCAGGTGGTGAGGCGGGCATCAGAGAGGATCTTGGAGACTTCCTCGATGGTAGTAAGGTCAAAGGTGCAGAGTGTTGGGGGAGCTACAGTATGAGGAATGTAGGGTGGGGTGGAAGTGGAGGTCAGAGCAGTGGTGGGGCCGTGGGAGAGGGGTGATGAGGGGGTAGCTGAGTGAGGGAGAACGGGGTTGGAGGGAGTTTGAGCAGCGACGAAGTCCCTGCGGGTTATGTCGAGGGGGAGGGGGGGGGATGAGGGGGGTAGCTGTGTGAGAGGGGACGGGTTGAGAGGGCGTGTGAGTTACAGCGATGTCCTTGCGAAATTGTGTCAATCTTGTTGTTGAAGTGATTGGCAATCTCAAGGGCGGTGAGTGAGGTGCTGGGTGGAGGTGGGAGGGGGTGGCGAGAGTAGAGAGTTGAAGGTGGAGAAGAGTCGGCGAGGATTGGAGGAGAGGGCCTTGATGAGGGTCAGGAAGTAGGGTTGTTTGGCTGCATGGAGGGAGGAGGTGTAGGTGCGGAAGGCAGATTTGTAGCGGGTGAAGGCTTGTTGGGATTTGGTTTTGCACCATAGCCGCTCCAGGGCATAACTGTGTCGTTTGAGGGTTTTGGTGTGATCAGTCTGCCAGGGCTGGAGCGGTCGGGGTCTGATGTCATGTGGTTAAAGGCGCTAGTGAGTCAAGGGCTGTTGACAGCGCATTGTTGTAGGCAGTCATAGCCAAGTCGGGGCAGGACAGGGGGAGGATGCAGTTGTGGAGTTGATCAGCTGCAGAGTGGAGGGGGGCAGGGTTAAGGTTGCGGATGTTACACGAGAAGGTAATCAGGTTGTGGTCAGAGAGAGGGAAGGGGGTGTTAGTGAGGTTGTGGGGGGAGCGCAGCGGTTGGAGAAGACAAGGTCCAAGATATTTCCGTTGGAGTGGGTGGTGGATTGTATGCACTGTGCAAGTGCAAAGGAGGAGGTTAAGTGGAGGAGATGGGATGTGTCCGGGTTGTCGAGGTTGACAGGGATGTTGAAATCCCCAAAGATGATGGTAGGTAGCTCAGAGGAGAGGAAGAAGGGTAGCCAGGAGGAAAAGTCATCCAGGAAGCGGACCGTAACCCCCGCAACTTAGTATCTGTCCCCCTGCTCCCTAAAATCCCCCCCCCCCCGTTTTCATGTGCACTCCTGAACGCCCGATCGGTGTGCAACAAGCTTACCGCCATCCACGACCTCTTTGTTTCCCGCTCCCTCAAACTCCTAGCGATCACAGAAACCTGGATCCAGCCCACTGACTCTACCTCCCCCTGCAGCACTCTCCTATGGAGGTCTCACCTGGACCCACTCACCCAGACCTAACGGTCGTAAAGGTGGTGGGGTTGGTCTGCTCCTGTCACTGCAGAGCACCTTCCGAGTCCTCCCAAACCCCCCCTCCCTATCCTTCTCTTCTTCGAGGCCCACTGCGTCCGACTATTCTCTTATCCCGCTGGGTGAACGATAAAACTGAACCATGTAGGCCAGCTTTGGGAGAAGGATATATTATCATTAACTCCCCCCTGAAGGGGTTAACCTACGTACTACCTCCTCTGCCACAGATCCAACAATGTCTCCACTACCTTGTACCACATGGATCCTCCTGCCTGTTCCTGACATCACTTCCTGTCTGTCTTCCATAGAGACTTCCTGTCTGGGTAGACGTGAGATCCCCACCTGTGTAGCTCAGAGGAACTGCAGCCCTGAGAAGCATCTGGTAGTGTGACCCCGGCCTTGTGCTGGGTGTGTATGGACTGTAGATCCTTATAGAGGGGTCACCTCCACTCCCACCAAGGGGGACAGAAATATATGACTGCTC